TTATTATATTATTATTATTATTATTATTATATATTATTATTATTATTATTATTATTATTATTATTATTATTATTATTATTATTATTATTATTATTATTATTATTATTATTATTATTATTATTATTATTATTATTATTATTATTATTATTATTATTATTATTATTATTATTATTATTATTGTTATTATTATTATTATTATTATTATCGTTATTATTGCTTATTCAGTTTGATAATTAATAATTTACATTTATTCATTGAAGGAATCTAAAGTAAGAATTAAAGAATATTTTAGGGACAGAACCATGTACCTTAACGGACCATTGTCCTAGTGGTCAAATATGTGTCAATGGTTTTTGCTTACCAAGCAATATTGCCCAAATTGGAAATCAAAATCATCCATTGCTTATATGTATGTAACATTTGCTTCTTATTAAATATCAAAAATAGAAAGAACAAAATTTATTTAAATTTTTTAAAACAAAAAAAGGACTTTTATTCCTATCATATCAAGTTTTAAATTTCAGAACTGTGATAAAATAAGCTAACAAAAGGAAAAGAATAATAAGAATAAAATTAAATTTGATCTGATATGCTTTTGATAGTTAAACAGAAATATATATATAAGTAAAATTAAAAAAAAAAGAAAAACTAATTACAATTTCAATTTTTTTTAAAATTTCAGCATGTTCAACCGGAGCATCTTGTCCTGTAGGTTATTATTGCATCAATGGATTTTGTGTTCGAAATGCTCTAACATCAACTTTTGGTAACATTGACATCGTTTATTTCCTTTTTTTTTTTTTGTTTAATTATTGATAATAATACTTCAAGTACAACAAGTCAAATTAATTCCTATTAATTTCATCAAGATTTCGTATAAATGAAATAGGTAATAGATCAATAGAATTAGATACTTTTTACTTAATATCTTGAAAACCTTTCTAATATCATTCATTAAAATATTTTATTTCTTTTTCGATTACTTATTTTTTAACGAGCAATATGTAACTTATTATTATAAGTTATTATTATATTATAACTTGTTATTACAACTATGCAACTTATTACTTATAGTACTTTAAATTACTGAAAATCGTTTGTTGCTATTTGACATTTATCTTTTTCAATTTTATTATTAATTAATTTAATTTCTCTGACAAAAATTCCATTCCAGCTACCAGTAAGATATCTGAGGTAAATATTTTTATGTTTTTAAAAAAATAACTAAAAAATTTTATAATATAAAAATTTCAGAACTTTACAAAACTTTTTTCTTTTTCTTTCGCTTTTCTTTACATCCTTATAATTTAAAAAATTTTACTTTTTTTTAAGAAAAAACTCTTAACTAAATATTATTAAACTGAAAATTTTCAACTAAATTACAATTCAAATTCTACAAAATTTACAGCATGTTCACGCGGCATGTGTCCAACTGGAATGATATGTCACATGGGACGATGTATCAGTTCTAGTTTTACTGGAAAATGATCTAAGCGTCATATGAAGATCAAGGATTAGTTGCAAATAATATCATTGATGAATGAATGATTAATTCAACATTTTATTAATAAATTGCATGTCTCATTGTTGTTCATATGAGTTAAAATAAAATTAATAAATAAAAATAAAAAAACATTAACAAATTATTTCAAAATCCACAAATATTCCCTATTATTTTGTTCTGGAATTGAATTCGAATATGAATTTCCAGTAGTTTGTAGCACTTCTGCAGATGGAATATATGATTCTGAAGGTGATACCGATGGTTTTTGTGCATTTGTATCAGGAGAAATGATCGCATTTTGTGATGGAGCCAATCCTGAAATGAAAAAAAGGAAAAAGTTTGACATCCAAATAATAGTCTGAAAATAGAACTTGCTGTCAAAATGTCAAAATCCAAAACTTGCATTCTGAAATGATTAAACGAAGACAAACCTGGACAATGTGAACAACTACCAGGAAATCCAGGTTCTCCTGGTAGTCCTGGTGGACCCGGTAGTCCAGGATCTCCTGGAATTCCTCGTTCGCCTACTGGACCTCGTACACCTTGATTTCCAGGTTGACCTGCTTTTCCATCATGTCCTGGAAAATTGGCTTTACATAGGAAGTCATGAATTTTGTTCATATATTTTGATATAATACGGTTAGCTGAGAAAAGATCACATAAAAAGATTATAAATACGCATTGATGTAGATGCTCAAAATAAAACCGTGATTCATTATTATTGTTACCTTTGCCACCAGGTACTCCCCGCGGGCCGATACTTCCTGGTGGACCTGTTGGTCCAGGTGGTGCTCCATTTAATACTCTACCACGGTCACCCTGTGGTCCTTTTGGTCCAGGAGGTCCTGGTTCTCCACGAAGACCTGATGGTCCTGGTGGTCCAGGTCGATTAGGTTCTCCAGTTTTTCCTGCCTTGCCAGGTGGTCCAGGTTTACCACGTTTTCCCTTTGGCCCTGGGAAACCAGGTGGTCCAGGTGGACCTGGTGGACACTGAAATTTTGTTTTACTGCAACCAATTGCAATTAATTAAAACAACAAGACTTTTAAATTACTTGAAAATGTTCTATTAAAGCATATAATATTGAATTTATTTAATTGAAACATTAATATTAAATTCATTTGAATGAATTAAACAAATATGTTACATTTTCTGCAAAATGGTTGATAAAAAAAATTAATTAATTAACTTTTTGACAACTATTTGCGCCTGGTGGAGGTGCAGGAAGATACACACCATCGCGACCATTAACTCCATCTTTACCTGGTTCACCTTCTTTCCCTGTAAATTCAATAATTACTTAAATAACAAAGGTAGTAAAATTTAATTTTATCCTTCCAAATCAAATTAATGAAAATTTCTAAACGTAAATACTCTTTGTTATTTCAAGAAATGTTCAGATTTAAAATTTTTAAAATGCTTATATTTCTAAAAATCTAAAAATCTAAGTTAATGATTATCACTAAATCATGAAATTGGCCTTTTTATGTTAATTACCCGGTATGCCATCTTTTCCGGTTGCTCCTCGAGCTCCTGGCAATCCTTGTGAACAAGCACAGCATGCATCATTTGGAAAACTACCAACAAACGGCATATTGAAATTATCAGAACGAATTTTTCGAATTTTATTTCCAGTTAAACCTATTTGTTTCCAAATATCGTTTGATTGAGCCTTAAATTATTATAAACAAAAAAGCGAGAAAAAAAAATAAACTAAACTGGCATAGTATAGAAAATTTTAATAAAATATTTATGAAAAAATTGAAATAATTTAATTTAAAATATTGCTTTATTACCAAAAATTTCATCAATACAACGAATCACTTCGAACTGTCATCTTTTTTTTGATAAATACAAAAACATATCAAACGTCTGATTTATTCAATTTAATTATCCTCAATTTTTGCTATAATTTCCATTTCTAATTTCCTCTGATCATTGATCTCATAATTATTATATTTTTGTCATTTATATTTTCACTACCATTTCATTTTCTTTTTATCAATTTATATTTTAATTAACATAAATGTTTTTTCTTTATCGTTTTTTTTTTACTTTCAATACCATTATATATCAAATATCTGTATATATCTTTTCAATCCCTAATAGAACATTTCTATCGTATTGTTTAATTAATTACTCTATCGTAATCTGGACAATTATTAACAATTTTTAAAATATGATGCTTTTTTTTAATTCCCAATATTTCGTCACTTAAATTTTATTTAGACTTTTGTATTTTATAAAATTTATTTTGAAACTTTTAAAAAAGATTTTTTCTTAACTAAAATAAATGCATTTCACTCATATACAATGCTAACTTCCCGATCGTTTTATCACTCCAGTTGTTTAATTAATTAATTAAAGATATTACCTTGTAGTAAGTTAAATATGACATACCCTACATAATTCAACTTGTGAAAGCATGGATGATAGAACTTCCTGACTACGGAAATGCATCAAAGGTAGTAAGATTGCAACACTTAAGATGCAAATTGCAGAACATGCTGTCGCTATCACCGCTGCTTTTCGTGTCGCCAATATATTCATCTGAAAAATGGTGACAGAGTGTGTGTTTATGCAATTTAAACAACTGTAAAATTAAATCAATTCATAAATCTTAGTTCGCGAACAGTAACTAATTAAGGAAATTTTACAACAATAATGAATTGACAGTGGAGCTTTTTTAAATTTTGATAAAATTTACATGACAATATATGAATACAATTAGCTTCCACGTAATTTACCAATTATTTCATATTTTTTAATTACAATCGACCCATAATAATTAAAAATTATTATGCAATAAAATAAAAAAAGAATTTGGAGAAGAAATAAATATCAGTCATATCCAATTATGTTTACTTTAAAGCCTATGCTTTCATTAATAAATTTGTAAGAGGTAATCCTAAAAATTATATCTTAAAGTAAAAGTATTTTTGTTTACTTATCGTAAAGTACTGTTGTTTACTTATATTGAAGTACTGTTGTTTACTTATATTAAAATACTGTTGTCTACTTCTGTTAAAGTATTATCGTTTACATATCAAATTTATTTTACTACTAATATTTTTAATATGGTATTACGATAATTACTAAATGCTCTCTTTCCTCTTTTCTCATTTTCTTCTAACATCATTAATTTAAAAAAAAATTTTTTTTTCTTAACAATATATCAGCAAACTTAGAACAACAATGGGAAGATTATAATTAGATAGAAAGTATAATAATGTTACATTTAATATTTTTATACTAAATTAAATATTATTCCTCACTTACTGTTCATAATTTATTTTACATTGTTTTAATTAATTAAGAAAAAAAAAAGAAAATGAAACAAATAAAGAGAAATAAAAAAAAAGAAAAAGGTAGAATGAATGGTAATGAGCAGAAATAGCTTTAATTACATTAAATGGATTACGACTGATAAGAAATGAAAAATGATGTCAATAACCTTTACAACGCATTTTGTGTTACGCATTGATTACAATTTTTCCTCTTTCTTTTTTTTTTATTTAAATTAAAAAAAAGATCATTTTATTTCATCTTTGATAATTAATTTTTTAATTAGAATGATAATGGATAAGCTGATTTATGCTAAAATAAAATTTAATTTAAACTAATGAACAAATCATTTGTACATTTTTTTTTTTTGAATCATTTTTCATAATATAATTTTCCAGTTAAAATAACAAAAATTTACGTATTATTGAATCCTTTAAGATGTCGTACGTAGAAGAAAAATGTAAGATAAATTAAAAATCACAGGTAATATTAATCAAAAATTATTTGAAAATATAATGTGATAGTGTATTCGATAACTGTAACTGAACAACAATCCCTTAAAAACAATTCATGAAATCAGCTCTTCAATTAAATCATTTGTATCATTTTATGTATTGATTAAATTGCTGATAAAATTGTCAACAGGAATTGGAATTAATTAAATTAAACATGGTAATCACTAACTGGAAATGAATGATACCATAATAGCAATGTTTTATAGTTTTTCTTCCTTTCTCTTTTACACACTTTTTTCCATTATTTCTACTTCCTTTTATTTTCGTTCACCTTTTTAATTATATTAATTTGAATTAGAAATTGATCACAGAGTTTTTGAAAATTACAGAATTGATTAGCTTATCATGAATATACGATGGAATGAACAAAATTACCGTAATCAAATAATCAAATGTTTATCTAAGAAATTGAAAAAGAAAGAAATAATTGTATTAATAGAAATAATTATATCAATAAATATAGAAAGAAATGATTATAATTATAGCTAGTAATTTATCATACTCAGATAACTTGCATCATTATTGAATACTTTTATTTAATTAACTTGAAAATATACACAATTTTCTTCGAATATATAGGAGATAGCATAATTTAGTTGTACTAATTAGACAGAGTAATTATAGGAGATAGCATAATTTAGTTGTACTAATTAGAAGAGCAATTTTTGATTAAAATTATTACATCAACCAACTTGAAAATATGCACAATTTTCTTTAAGCATATAAGAGATAAGTACTACTGTTGGTAATTGTTCATCGGTAGAATCTTCAAAACGTCGAAAATTTCGCTCATACTCATTCAATGTGACAATTCCATCTTTCATCAATTTTTGCATGACCTAAATTGACACTTTCAGAAATTGAAGTTAAATTTTAATGTTCGAAAATTGAAATGACAAAATGTTGAACAGATAATAATAATAATAGTGTACACATTATACCAATACATGATTAATTAAATATCTGAAAAGCATTAGGATAAATTGGAAATTAATTGCATAGATGAGAGGCAAAAAAAAAAAAGCACGGTGAGATATCGTAGTATTAGAATTAAAATCGATAATAATTAAAAGAATGATATGCTATAACTCATGCATGAATGTTACATAATCACAATTTTAATTTGTAACAAATATATTACCTCTCTATAACTGATAGGAATTTAAAATTTATAAAATTTGCATACATTTTTAATTAATTGTCTACTCATTACCAAGTCGCCAACTGCAGTAATTAAGTGATTTGCAAAATTTTTTGGATTATTATCCATTTCGTCACGATTTTCTGCCAACCAATCGAATGCTTCCTAGAAAAAAATAAATAAAAAATAACTTCCTTATATTCAAATTGTATTCCCTATTGTTTTCATATCTAACTTATGATTTAGCTCAAAATTAATGATTGTTTTCTGGAAAATATCGACAGAAATTTTCGGGAAATTTTTTGAAATTATAATCATTGAGCAATGGTGATTCAGGATTGTATCAACAGAAAGAATAATAATTTAATTTCAGGAATATATAAACAAGCATGCTTGGCATCTTAAATTTTGCAAGAATTGGAAATAAATTTGCCATAAATTATCATTCTTTATACGGTAAACAGTTTTTGCAATTACAGTATAACATACCCTACTTTGTTGTCGGATATTGCTACGTTCCATTATTGAACCAATTCGAAGAATTTCATCGATATTTACTTTTATCTTATTATTTCTTGACTTAGATTTAACCATATCCGTGATAATTTCTAAAGTAGACTAATTTATTTGAAGTTTAAGAAAAGGGATAAATTAAAAGATTGAAATTTCACTAAAAATCATAACCGCAATCAGTAAATACAGTCAACTAACCAATCACAACCGTATCAGTGATCGGTAAAATTGTCAATGAATGAAATGTAACTATTTTTATACTATCTTTTAAGTTAAAATGAAATTAGTTAAGAAAAAATTTGATAGCTATTTGGAGAAAATCAAAATAAAAATTGAAATAATAGTAAAGTAAATCAGAAATTGCAGAATGCTTTATATAAATATATATATGAAAATCCTATCCAAAATTTCGTTTGATTATTTCAGGTAGTTGAATAAATAAGTAATCATTTAGTATCAGTATTTATCACCTTATATATCAATATTAAAACATATCAGTATTACTTCTTTCTATATATCAGTATTAAAATATCAGTTTTTATCACTTCTATACTTCTTTAAAATAAGTAGGTTTGTCGATTGTTTGGAGAAAAAAGCTGAAGGAAAGTTTAAAATATTGATAGTATTATGAAAAGTTAATTTGAACTAGAAATATCAAATTAATTTAAGCTATAAATTACACCAAATTATTGGCATGAATTCAAAATTGCTTTCTTCACTACATTTCTTTTATTAAAAATAGATTCAATAATATTTATTTCTAATGCAATCATAAACGAATTAATTTAATGTTGGATGATTGGCGCATAAGTTACTTGATGAAAACCTGGCAAAGAATTGAATGAAAGGTTGACATAAAGATATCAATACAAGATATCCATATGAATGATAAGTAGCATTAACTATTTCGTTTTCTTTCTTTAGATCTAAAATTCAACAAATTTGAATCTTATCAGTATGATACACTCTTATCATATATCTTTCAAAGCTTTGATTCAAAATAGATTTCACGCTAACATTTTGCATTACAACTGAAGAAATTTCTTTCCTCTTTGATCAAATTGGGTAACTTGACAAAATTTGCTTCAAAAAAAAGAAAAACTTTTTTGAAAAAACGTTGGTGACATTTTTTTTTCCTTTATTTAGCATATTTATTCAAATTTGTTACTTTCATAAATTTCAAAAATGCGAAATGATATGTGTTTTAAAGAAAATTAAATGGAGTGATAAAATTTGACGATAAGTGATACAATGATACTGTAGGATAGAGGAAAAGCAATTAATTTTTTAAAAGTTTTTCATTAAAGTTGGCGAAATTTCTTGAACAATTACAATTGTAAGTAAAGAAATAAATAAAATCTGTAAAAACATCATGATAAATTAAGAGATGGCAGAGAGTGAAGAGAAATGGAAGAGTAGCGTAAAAGGTTTGCGCCAATAGCAAAATAGCTGTCTGTGGCTATTTGTCAATGTTTCTGTTGTGAAAGTAACGTTGGCAAAGATTGTTAAGCAATAATTAGTAATGAAGAGATTAGGGGAATTACGATAACCATAATTATCACTGTAACATTGAGTATGGTATGGAGGGTACTGTATAAGCAGAATTTTAAATGTCAACTATTTTTTACAAATTTTGCAAAATCTAAGATTTTTTTCGAATTTTTTTTAATTTAAATTTGTATTGGTTTTTTTCTTGTACGAATTAATATTCAATATTATTTCACTGTTTTACCACACGTGGTAATTTGATATTACTAATTAAGTTTTAAAGGAATGATTGCTTCTCGCAATGATAATTTTCCTACGGTATTTATGCATTCCAGATGTTCGCAGATATCCGAAGCATTCCAGAAATTCTGGAGGTAATCTGAGCAAATTTTGAGACAGATGGGGCCTTGTCAAATATTTTCTTGCATTATTTATGTATTGGTATGCGGTTTCTTTAAGGGGGAATAATTACTGATCTGATTGTTCATAGTTCAATCGTAATCAATCCATTAGTTGCAAAAGTAACCTGATTTAATTTTATTCCCGTACAATAGATGTGCTACTGTCGCAATGGAAAAATTATATGGTGGTTTTAAAAATATGAAATGGAAAAAATGAAATTATCTGACTAGCTCAAAACAGTTTTTTGTGTAGAAGCTTATTAAACCTAAAGTGTCATTATGTGAGAATCATGCTTGAACATGATGTTTTCCTTTTTCTTTTCTAAGGATATCATGACTATCCAACATCTCATTGTTAAGAGTCATTACAATGTTGTTAAGACTTATAAATGTATCCCATATTGTTCTCGAATATTGTTGAATATTTTTTGTCTTAGGATTGCTTAAGGAAAAAAAAAAAATTAAAAAATAATTTTACTTAGGGAAAATTATGTGCTTGTATATTTATTTAATTATATCTTTATTATAATTCTTAGTTTGATGACACAGTGATTTGTTGCTATAGAAAATTGTTTGTTTCATAGTATGATTTAGGGAAATGATTGATTGTCATGAATTATTATTAACATTGATCTGTAACCAATTTTTATTATTTTCATCGTTTTTTATGAGCTTTAGACACGTTTACGCCTGAATGTAATGGGCAGCAGAAGGCTTTACCCAGAAATATGGGCAGACGATGATCAGATGTCTGGGCTTATGTCTATGATAAAGGTATGGTACGTTTCCGATTTTCGATTCATCAAGAATTTTGGTAATCGATCTAGTTAATGGTCAGTCTGATAATTAAGTATCCGAAGTTTTAAACTTTAAAAAGTATTCGAACATCCTAACCCAGCTTATGCACCAGAATGTTGGCGAATTAACCGATAACAATGAACCTGATCCTGGCATAATTAGGTACTGAAAAAACTGTTGCAGAGAATCCGGAATAACTATTTTTAACATGCAGTTTTTGTCATCTTTATTTCAGTGATATACGCTTATTTCTTCTTTTTTATTCAGGCTCGAGATGTAAATCCGAATGATTATGATCGAAAAATAGAATTTTGGTCTGATATGATTGCAAAATCGTGCGAAACTGAGAAAAATGCAGTCTTCACTATCGATATATTGAAACGACGTTTTCGTCGAGGTGATCAACTGCCGGGTTCTCTGAATGTTATTATTCAGCATATGCTTGAGTAAGTTTTTTTTGTATTGATTGGGCTCACTTTTATATATTAGTCTTTTTCTGTAATAGTTTGTCATAAATGCACAAACTTTTTGCATTGCAGCATTTTGCTACAATAATATTTTATAAAATCGAAAATGACTTTTAGCAGTATAAATCACATCTCTTTATGTGAGTTTCCTATCAAGTGATGTCAATATCGGTAATTAAACGATTAACTTCTTTTTAATTTTTTTAAGATATATCAGCACATTGAATTTCTTTCCGTGTATTTGTTGGTAATACAAGATGAGAGTGTCAAAATGTTAGAGGGTTCTTAAAGTATCCGGGAGTTTTATGGTATATGTTTTCCGAAGAGGAAAAATTATGAGAAAGTGGATGAAATAAAACGCACAAATTTGATATAATATTTTGAATTTTTTTACAACATTTAAATAGATTATATTTGACAAGCAATGTTGCCGAAATTACTAAACGCGCTACGCTAAATATAATCAAGTATCAATTGTAATTGCTAAAATCCGGTTCATTATGAAGGGTGCCTTTTTAGTGCAGGTGAAATTATCACCTTGGATGATTACAAAGCCCGGAATCAGAATTGGTTTCAGCGAGGATACAGGTCATTTATGGGAAGTTTGTGGGGTGCTACCATTGATAACCAGACAGAATATGTTCATCTACTGACTGTTAAAGTAATTTCTCGTCACATGTATTACTGCTTTCTGATCCTTCCAAGTCAAATTTTTTTAGTCCTAGTTTTCAATCTTTCAATTGTATTTGTATAAACTGAACAATTGTAACGTTTGAAGTTTTTCCAGAAAAGGCATTTCATTATTATATATTTTTAAAAATTGTTCTCTACGTTATAAAGGTTATTTAGAAACATGCTGACAGTATGCTAGAGTTTTTCCGAAGTGAATATGCTGTTGATGATGATATGCTACCGGAAATCGTCGACTCGGCGGAATTTTTCGAAGAATGTAAAAATTTAGTTGCTAACAAGAAAACTTATGATATTGCACTAGCAGAACTTGTTAATCGAGGCGAAGTTTGTTATTATGGATCTTTTTTCTTTTTATGTCATAAGATGATGTTGATTACTGTTCGACTAAAATGCCGTTATCTTTGACATCTTCTATCAGTGATGCAACTTGTTTCTTTTATCAAAATGTGCTTCTCCCAGAAATCCATTGAGTTCTCTTAGAATTTTCCGTATTACCAATAGTCCATCTAGTTTACCATTTTCTTCGTTTGGTCACTTTTCGCAATCATGAAGTTTACTTGCAGGTAACGATAGGTTCATCTAAAATAGGAGAGGAAGTTCTGAAATTCCGTGACAACGCCGCTCGTGGTCCCATAAAGTGGACAGAATCTGATGCTGGCGTTCACGATATGAGGCGGGCGATGAATAAATTAGAGCATGAGATCAAACGTTTGGAACTGAAAGCGAAGAAGTAAATTCTCTTTAATGATTTTGTTTGTTTTTATTACCTCACTTTTCTGTAGAATATTTGATATTGTGGATGCTTAATATACGACGGTACTAATTTTGTTGTCATTCATTGTCTTTAATTATTTCTTTTTTCTTCTTCAGGGCTGAGCAGGATGCTCGCCTGTACATACGTCAGGGTGATAAAAATCATGCTGCCCACTATTTACGTCAAAAGAAACGGGCTCTAAAGGAAGTTGAAGCTAAAGATAATCAATATCAGAGGCTTTTGGAAATGATGCAACAATTAGGACGAACAAAGCAAAATAAGCAAATTTTGGATGCTTACAAAGCTGGTGCCGATGCTTTTAAAGCTACTTTGCAAAGGCAGGGTATTTCTCCGGAAGAGGTATGTTTTTTAAAGTAATTCTTTTGATATTTCCAGTATTTCAGTTGACTTTATTGCATAAAATCATTCTTTAATTTGATTTCTGTTCTTCCTTTCCATGAAATGCATATTGTGGGAAGTTTTTTCTCCACTCGTTCAATCCTTTTTATTGTTGCAGATTGATGAAACTATGGATAATATCGGTGATGCCATGGCAACTGCGGAGGAAATTCAGGATGCTATTGCTGCTGGTGTACCAACATCGACTGCTGATGAACTTAACAACGATCTCGAAGCTGAATTGAACGCTATACTTGCTGCAGACAATAGTGAGATAGATTTAATGATTAAAAATTTGCCAGACATGCCATCAGAACCCTCTGCAGCAGGTCCTGCTAAAACTACTAGTGTTGCTGCAGATGATTCAATCGGAGCACGTCTGAAAAGGTTACGTGAAACTGCTTAATTGTAAAATTTGTTCGAATATCATGTTAATCTTATGTCTTATTAGTCCAAAAATGGTTTTGATTGAAGACATTATCACTGAAATAGTTTCACGTGATTTACAATTCAGTCACTTTTTGGAGAGCAAAATTTTGCTGAATTTTGTTTAGTATAAGAAAGTTTTGACTGAACTTTACTGTTCTGATTTATCCTTGACAGCACAAGAGATCTGCCAACTATTGCTGAACGCAAAATTTTGCTTTGGATCGTATGGTAATAAGAAAGTAGTTTCCCCTCAGTTATCATCTGTTATTTGTTGATTATTGGCCCGATTGGATTGTAATACCTTTTTATCCTATTTTTCTTTTTATGTCCTTTGTATTGTACAGCATTCATATTGTACTGCTTATATCTTTTCTCAACTCTTATTTAACTAGGAAAAGAAAAAACAAGATTTGGAAAATTATGCTTATGAGCGAATATTCATTATCGTTATCGAATAAGGGCGGTATTTTATCCAAATGATGATCATGAGCATTTTTCGAATTTTCTTTATTTATATAGTATTAAATTGTGTTATCGTTGTTTGTTTCTGGGTGATATTTTTTGAAAATAAATAATGCCGCTTCATCAGTTTTTCAGTAAAAAAAAAGAAAAAAAATCAGTGAGTATGAAGAATAACTAATAAAACTGTAGAATAAGTTAATATGTTGAAAGTATTCATAACCACAATCAACAAAAATTGTCAAATAAATAGAATTCATTGAAAACATTTGATAAGAAAGACGTGTACATGCATATGTAACAATAAGCGTTTCCTGTAAAACATTTTTACATTCTATAGTAATTATTGTTTCTTCTTCGTTACTTGAATTGGCGTCAAACAGTTCATTAAACTGTGGAGGTTTGTACTTTAATTAAGGTGATGTAATATACTATAATTTTAGAAGATGTCTTAGGACCATCCAATCAATTTTTAGGGAATCATTCGAACGACCACTTCCTATTCTGTGCTTTTTTTTTCTTTTTGTTTTGTTTTTTTCATAATGAGAATAAAGGTTATGCGAAAAATGGATTGTATGTGTTTCCATCAATGAAAATTTGCATTTAGCGACAAAAATTCCTAATTTTATTCATTTTAAATCATGGAACAATCAAAATTATATATGCTATTGCAGCAATAATGATTATAAATTTCCATTAATTTAATGAGACTTTGTGGATATCTATCGGTATATCACTAATAATTCGTATATGATGGTAAAGTTTATCCCATTCCTCAATGAAATGTTTTCATAGTTTCCAGTAATGGTCTCAAGGGATGGTCGTCCATGAAGGCTATTAGAAATTATGTTCCTTATTTTTAACATTATAATGTTACTCTAAGTTTAAAATTAATAAATTAATTTCTTATTTTTGAATTTTCTGATTCCTGTTATAAATAAATACAAGCCAAAATGATCTTGGTCAAGGAAAGACTTTAATTAGGGTAATGTAACTAGTTTAGAGAACCAAAAATAGTCATGTCAACGATTTCCTATTTGATTAGGTATTGCTCAATTAATAACATCGAGCAGATCATAAAGTGCGAAGAAAAGTATCGGGAAATACATGAAAATGTATTTGTTCAACGCTTTGGTTGATATTATTTATTAATTTGTAATTATTTTTGGAAAAACTAATCGAACTTTGTAAATTAGTTTGCAAATTATGGGAAAAATATACTAATTTAGATGATAAAATTTGAGTGAAAGAAAATTTTTTAGCGTGAAACATTTGCATTTTGCGCATTTATTGATTTAATTGTTGAAGGAATTTGAATATTTTAAATTTATTAAGCCTATCGAGTAACTAAAAAAATTCATGTAAATACCAAATGATTACCAAATAATCATTCGATCTTAACAAAGCATTTCTACGCATTATGATTATCTCACGTAGAAAATTTGTCGCATATCAATTTTCGGAAGAAAAGCCAGCAAATCTGAAAATTGGAATTAAATCTAGGATTACTGAAAAAAGAAACAAAAAACTTGAGAAGTCAAATAGAAATTATCTAAAGCAAAAGGAAGTCGTCAAAGAAGCGAAAAGTTTAAACCACATTAGTACTGCCAGCGATGATCATCCACTGGCTGTCGACGGATTTCAGAAGTTTTTCCTTCACTACTTTCCTGCCTTCCTCGACCAAGGATTCCAGAAGTTTTCTTAAATCACAGAAGCCGCGAAAATGGTCAAGGAAAAAGCTCTGAAACTCACCAATTTAGTCGAGCAAGGGTAGGATAAAATGATCAAAGAGAAAAATCTCGATCGGTTTAATTATTTGCTATCACTATCTAAACTCAACCTTGCTCAGATTAAGTTCGGTCATTCATTTCCAAATTCATTTATATAGTTTGTCGTTGTCAACTGTGAAATGAAACAGCATTTTCATCTCTATATTGGTGGCTACTAGAATTGTCCAACGAAGCATAAGCTACTTTGTTGGACAATCCTGATAGCCACCAATATTGGTTGATATTGCTGTTTCATTGATTCACCATTGCGAGTCTTTCCAAAGAATTATTGGCGGCATTTGTAACCTAAGGGAATGGCAACTTTAGAAATCGAATTGCGAAAGTTATGGAAGGATGATGTAATGATACCAATTTAGGATAACATTTGGAAAGACCACAGGGGATAATGATTTGGAGCATGGTTTCATGATCAGCGACCAAGATGATCAAGATGATATGCAGGTTTTGCTGAATGGAAGAAGCAAAAACTTTTTTTAGACTAATAAACCGAGGCAGGTATTTCCTACACTTCAAACAAAATCGAAATTTCGATTGTACTTTTCTGATAAAATCTTACTTTTTCAGGTTGAAATTTACCAAAAACACTAAACGCTATTGCACTGTCGAAGTAGCATTGCAATTACTAACACAATTAAAGAGACAAGCTTATGTATATTGCCTGAACCTGATTGACTTAGTCCAAATTTACGACAAAGGATTTTTCGGAAATAACATTTGTCAAATGTAGCATCTGTCATGGCAGCTTTCAGTGAAGATTCATTTATATCTTTTTTTTGTCCATTTTAAATAGGTAATTGTGAAGATTTAACCTCATTTCCTCTCTCTCTCTCTCTCTCTCTTTTCCTCTACCTCTTTCTCCTTTATCTCTTTTTTTTAAATTTTCGTGTTTGAGTTGTCTTCAAAATGAACTGAATTGGTTATTGTAATTAATAAGATCGTCGCAAAAATGGTACATGTTTCCCAACTGTTATCTTTTTGCCTCTTTGCTTAATTAATTAATGAATATTATATAAACTTGGCATTTTTAGATTCTTCTTGATCAACTGGCTGATTATTTTTGTTGCATATAGGTACGAAAATTGCAATATTTTAACTAATACCCGTTGATATTATATATCGTATGTTTGTGTATATGTATTCCTGTGATTATTGTTCAATGATAAATCTACGAGAAAGTCTGAAAAACTAAGGTATGGGAGAATTTAGGGAAATTTGCCGAAAATACCTATTTTTTTTTTTTCTGGCTATTTCTCTCTAAATAAGGTAAATAAAAGAAAGACATTTATCGTGATATATTTGAGTATATTTGGATAAATTAAAATTGTAAAAATAATTCGTAAGATAAACAAATTATTGATTTGAGAGAACTTCATTTTTTAATTTTTTTTTTTTAAATATGAATTGATGATTGATTTCTTTTTTAACCTTTTCACTATCAATTGAAATTATGCAAAAAAATTGCGTATGATACAAATAATCAAAGTTACCATAGCAATGATCACAGATACAATAATAACAGTATAAAGTACCAGATATTATCATAACAAATATTACCCATCTAGTAAAATAGCATTTTTAGCAAGCTAATAACTAAATTACAATGGATTTTATTGAGAAATTAGTATGTCAAATATAAATATACTACTAGATAAGTAAGTGAATACATATTTATCAAAAATTCTTGAAGCGTTTTCTTTTTTTATTTAAATAAAACAATTTTATCTAAATGATTTCCATTGTTGATGGTTTCTATTGTTGTTTCATTTCAATCTTTTGCAGGTAAAAATTGCTATTCCCTTGATTCCTACATTGCTATAATCAAGGTGAATCACTGGTACAGTCCATACTGATAGAGAATAATCAGTCATGAATGCTCGTTTCGATTATTTCAAAGGGAAAAATAAATTTCAATATGTATTCAAAAGTTTTTGGTACCTATGTGTTTGTGAAGATTTTCTTCAAAAAAATTTTTTTTTCGAATAAAGATCATTGATATTAATACATGCATGTTAGTATCAGTGACCTGTCAACGAAGCAATGAGAGCAACGATTAAATGGAATGATCATTAGAACTGGTATTCCAATAAACGAGACAAATTGATATTTCGAATAAATATTCATAAAATATTGTAATGGCAATATCTGTTTCGGATTTTACTGTATGAAAGCCTAGAGTTTGCAGAGAAAAGTAATCATTAAAATAAAGGCTAGTATATTAGCTTTTATCTTGGTAATTTCTTTTAATAAATCAGCTCTTTTCAATAAATCTGATGATTTCTATAAAATTGATGATGAGCTTTTATTTGGATTTCCTTTAATAAATCAGCTTTTAATAAAATTTGATAATTTGATAAATTTTGATAGGCTTCATTTCTTTTAATAAATCATTTTTATAAATCAATCTGCTATCGAAGGCTGATTTACTTTAGATACAGTATCATATAAAGTGTAGTTATGAGAGACGATATATCCGAACAATTCATTGAAGAAATCATTGTTATATTTTTATCGTTTAAGTGATAAAGAAAAAAAATACGATATGTATAATATCATGAGTGCACGTTCAATTATTTTCCGAAACATTCGCAGTAATGAATTTCTGCCATCCGAGAATAGTTATTAGTCATCATTTCTTCTTGGTCAATATTTTATAGTAATTTTATACAGTATTAGATTCCGTTGAAGAGAAGCCAACTTCAGGATGCGTATCATCAACTGACCGGCTATCACTGTGAAGCCCTGTGGTGCGAGTAAGAAAATCAAATTGTTATTGATCAAATCTTATCATTCGGAAAATGTAATAGTCATCGTGATAGGCGTAAGTATGTGAATCCCAAAAAAAAATTCAAAAATGACAGTGAGTATATGGAATTGTAAAGTAAAGAAGTACATCATGAATAATTGCTAGAACCTGATATTGTCCGTGTACGAAAATTTATTCTGCTCGGATCAAGCCATTCCTGCGGTAGTGCACCCATTGATGGATCTGAAAGTAGCATTTTTAGGTAATTTTGTCTTTTTATAATTGTAACAAATAATCATTGATAATCAAACAAATCGAAAATTATATTTCTTATTCATCCAAGCAAATTAAGTGCTATGATAGCAAAAGATAGAAATTTCAATTTTAGCAATGTTTTTGACAAATCTGAACTAATCAAGTATTGGTATTTGAAAGTCGATCGATATTCATTACATTGTATTTTTACGGTAAATTAAAAAAAAGAAAGAAAAGTTCACCGTATGGTCGAATTTTATGGCAACACAGGCATTGAAGATAATAAGTCCAGAGGCTAAAATTATCATCTAATTTATGTTCAATATTCATTTGTTAAGTTTGCTCTCATTATAATGATTTGCATGAATACTTTACAATGAGTGATCAGATTAAAATTCTGACTGCAGTATTTTTACTGTTTGAATGTGTTTAGGTTTCAGTTTCAAATTTTCACGATATTAATGATTAAGGAAATTTACAAATAGGTCAAAACCTTTTGATATATTTTGCTTCATTTTCTTCCTGCAAAGCAAAAAGTATTAAATGTTTTTTTGTCACCAAGATAGGCAATAGAACTTATGCAAGCGTATACTTTCGAAAATTTTAATTTCTAAAAAGCAAAATGCAAGAAATCTTCCGTTCATGTATTTGCAATATTTTGTAAAATTTTAGAATTCGCTAACTGAGCACAAAGAAATGCTTACACCTATTTGTATATCAGTAGAAGAATGGTCATCGGAATAAGCACTTCTAATTTCTGAATATGCATCAGTGTAATCAATACAACTTGAATCATCCATTCCCAAGACTTTTGTGTTGTTTTTAAATTCAAGCAGTCAAGATGTTACATGGAACACTCATTCTGAAATTATGTAACCACACATGTTCGTGTTATTATATACGGGGTGGAGGGGGAACGGGGGAGGGGGGCAAAATTACTTCAATTAAATTCCTCTTTTCACAATTTAATTACAGCACCGGAAAGAAATCTGTCCTACTTTGACAATTAAGTCAGAAAGTTCAGAAATCTTATTTACATCTCCTTCGATGAAATTAAATTACGCTATTTAACGTTCAAGCATTAAGTTTAAAGCAAATAATAACTGCTTTGCTATGTTAGTATTTGAAGCAGTGATCTTCAACTTTCCAATCTCAGCTAAATTTGCACTTGTTTCGAGTGGAACACCAGCTGAACACAACTTGAAATTCAACCGCTTCCAGTTTTACCAGCTGATTCAAATTAATGAATATGAGTAAACTGATGAATTTTATACAATTTTCAGTATATTTTTCTATTTTTGATTCAAATGTTGCCATTCTAATGTTGAACAAAAAATTCAAAAAATTGAATTTCTCTGGAAATTTGCTCTGGAAATCATTTTTTAATGGACCGTTGCATTTCTTTTCCAGTGCGAAAGACTATTAATTGCCATTAATCTTTTTCTGCAAGGGCGATATTTTCACTTCATCATTTAGGGATTATGCAGTGTTCACAAAATCCGATATCGTTCCTTCCGAAACCACTAAACGTTAGCTGCAACGTTCAATGATTCCTGAAGGAACTTTGAAAAGAGTTGAAACAGATAATACAAATTTCTATTACACCACAAATCATGAATTATTATCGGACGTCCATATTTGTCAATTCTCATTGTATCCTTCATTCTGAATTTTATTTACTTCTGAATTATTGCAAAAGACTAATTCCCCATACTTATCGTTAATAACGAATGGGGCATATTACATAATTATAAACAAATAGATAACTTTTTGATTTACGAATTAATAAACTGAAATAACAAATAAAAGGATTTTTTTTTTTTGTGTGTGCGCCAAGGATAACTAATCCGTATGAACATTTAATTCTAGTGATGACTTTTATCAAATTTATTGCATCAAGAAAAGGGCTTTCTCTTTTCTAAAGAACATTTATGCTTCCATTGCTTAATTCAGCTTATCACTGTATAGCTTGTGACAGTGAATTCAATCGCTTTAATGAAACTGCTAAATGAAATATATCTTTTCCATTAAACTCTTTCAGTCATCCAACCAATTCTTCTCCATATCCCCTATGCCAATTGTGTTCCTATTACTTTTTATCGGATTACCGAAATTAAAGCTATGTTCAAATAAAATTTTCACAATATCTAACAGACACAGTAATGAAATCTTGTAAAACTAAAGCAATGAAGAGGATATAAGCTAACAATGAGCTGCATCATACAAAGACGTCTCAGTACCTACACAATAGACAATGCCATAGAGCAGCCATACTTCCATGATAACCCCGAGGAGTTTTATAAACTCCTCCCTAATTCTTATATATATATATATATACAAGGAGAAATGATTCTTATATATATATATAATTCTAATATATATAAAGTTTTTACAGTCGAGCAGAAAATACACCTTCTTCGCTTATCCTCCACGGCCAAACCACAAACAACCACATCTTCACCTATCCGCCACCACTGGA